GGGTTGAGGGGGTGAGGGTTACTGGAAGACATGGGGAGTAGTTACGGTAAATCAAAAGAGGAAGGAATCACCGGAAGTTGACCATATATGGACATGACGGATGTCCCGCCCTAAAGGGGCGTGGCACCTGTCACTTTTTGATTGATGAATACCCATGTATATATTCTCTTTTATGTGCTGCAGAACAGGAACCTGCTGTAAAACAGAAATTATGCTGAGTCGGGCTTGATTTTTAGTAATCTTTTCCTGTTAAATAAATAAATCAAATCAATTTACAAGGTTTGACCAAAGCAGCTCATTATAAAATTATAATCTGAAGGAAGGTGGAAAATATGCATTCCTTTGAGGAACACTAGGCCTTTAATTTAATTGCACTTTTATGCTGGCATTAGCTGACTGCTAATGAGGAAACTTACAGGTCCGTAAGCAAGCACATTGTGGGGTGCCAAATGTATTATCTCAGGATGACATCATCCTCCTGAGATGATAGCAACCTATAGCGCTTCAATGCAGCTAAAGCTGCCCTAAAAAACATCAAACTTGCAGTTATGGCCGTGTCTGAGCTTTACTCCAAACTGCTGGACCACAGGTACCATACAAATTGTTTTTTTAATAGCAGATTTTTGAATTTACAATATGTTTTGACATTTAAATTTAACATTTAGTAAAAATTAGCTAAATGTAAGAACAGTGAGCTAAATAACAAAACGTTATTGGAAAAATTTGAACTATCCTTGTCATTGAGACAATATGGCTATACAAGCTTTAACAAAAAGGGTTCAAAAGGTCAGGAAAAGAAAAGATTGGTCAAAAAGGGAGTTCTTAATAAAAAATTATGTTAAAATGGTTCTCTCGCGTCGATGAACTAGCTTTCTAGAGAACAGATGTCGGCGTTTGTGCTACTCGCAGAAAATCCATCACATTTCTCGCTCAGGCTGCCAACAGCGGTGAAGTTTAACGAATCGTGACGTGTCGGTCTCTCCTTCTCCGTCCAGCGAACACTGAGCCAGACAGAGGATGATGTGCGTGGGCCAAAAGACCAACACTCCAGGCAGAGCGCTGAGGCCGGGGGCCAAAACAAGACTAAAGAGGAGAAAAAAGGATGGGAACGTCAAAACAAGGAGTCTGATGAGGACAGCGACACAGATTTGGAGCTCGGAGGTAGAATTGATTTTAGGAAATAACATTTTAGTCGATTTCTTAACGAGGTGTTTAATGTTTCTTCTTTGAAAACAAATGCTTTGGTCTTGATCAGAGGATGTTTTGATAAGAAAAAGCTCCATCACCCCATCTGCTCCATCTTTTCTCCTCTCTGTTCCATTTTCTCAATTTCTAAATGATTTTGGGGAGGAGAGAAAAAAAAACACACAACAGAAACCCCTCCATGTGCCCACCCACACACACACAGATCTGTTTTGCATGTTAATGATTTCATCTCAGTCTTTGTGACAGGCTTCCTTTTCAGCCAGAATTGAAAACTGTCTGATTTGAATGAGATGAATGTGCTCTCCTGACGGGGCAAAATCTGCCACAAAAGACGTTTTAATATCAAACTCAGAAAAGTCCTCCACCATGGTGAGGGGATCTCATCTTCATGTTTCTGTCAGAGAGGCAGTGGACACTATACTGTCTTTATTTCTGTTGCAGATCAGGAAGAAACAGAAGCTCTGAGGGGTAAGGTGATCTACATGAAGGCTTGTGAGAAGCTACAGGTGGCGCCGGTCTCTCGTTTCCTGAAAAACATGCACACTAGTGAGCTGGCCCTGATGCATTATGGACTTGGGCCTAAGGTACAGAAATCAAGTCAGGGACTGGGTGAAAATTACTGTGTAAAAAAATAATAAACAAAACAGGTAAATATGCTTGTAACAACCATGATTAACCTGTTGTTGGTGGCTCTTAACATGGCCTTATTTAGAGAAATACGTTATTCCTGACAGCATGCTAACAGCTGGCGGCGCTAAGACAAAACAAAGGGCAGTGTAAAATTTTGTGAAATCCTTCCTTGTTTGATTTAATAAGCTAAAGCTAAAGAAAGATTTGACAATACCATTTTCTCATTTGAGTTCTTACCTCAACTCTGTGAATGATTCATCATTTCAGAGTCAGATTTCCCTGCAGGGAGGCTGCACTGATAGAGAGAAAGTCTGCAGAGTATGACTTCATGAGTTACGCCAGTGAACTTTGAAGACTTTTCCTTTTTTTATTTGTAGTCTCATGCAGTTTACATGAAGTATTGAACTTTATTTGTTTGTACGTTTAAATTTGTTACTATGGAGGACCGAAAGCACATAATTTATATTTTACTGTTTTGTTTAATATATATTTATTGTGTTTCCTTTTACTTGTAGATGCATTTACGTCACTTACCTCCTTGCCTTTGTTTTTAACTAAATGTTAAACTTTAAGTTAAACTGCCGTAGCACAAGCATGCACAGTAGATCTGCACATGGAACCTGCTCCTTCCTGTCTGCTGACCAATCCAAGAAGCTCCGCCCACCTCATTTGCATAATGAAGCAGAAATAAGGTAAAGTAAAGACAGGAGGCAGAGAAATGTAAAGATAACACATGGAAATAAAAAGACTTGAGAAAAATACATTAAAAATCAATATAAACATTTAAGAGACGTAAATGAATCTAACAAAATATGTATTTTTAAAGAAACAGTAAAATGTAAATTATGTCCTAAAATATATAATTTATTAGAACTAAGCTGGGAAAATAAATATGAAGTAACTATGAAGTAAACATGAATATAGAGGTCAATTCAATCTTAAAACATGAGATAAAGTTCTTTTTTAAATTTTATTAGTGTATTTTAAGTGTATTTATTTATTTATTGGTCCATTTATATATTTCTGCTTTTATTTCTAATCATGTCAGTTTCTGTCCTCCATATATTGCATCTTTTTTTCTGATTTAAATAGTAAGATTTTTTTATAAAGACATTTATAAAGACATTTTTTTGTTTCGTATGGAAAAAAGTTCATTTTTTTCACAATTTAAAACTATAAAAATGTAAACTGAACAGATTTACAGAACTATAAAATAGCAAATTTATATTTTGTAGTTTCAACCAAGAGTTGTAGTTTCGCAATGTGACTGCTGGATATGGGCACCAGTGACCCCTGTGACCCTAGAAAAGGAATAAACAGGTATAGATAATGGATGGATGGATGGATGGATGGATGGATGGATGGATGGATGGATGGATGGATGGATGGATGGATGGATGGATATTTTGTGGTTCCAGAAAAGAGTGAATGGTTTAAAATATAACGAGAGATGTTTTTTACTGACATTTTACCAGATCTTTTCTGCAGCTGTTCTCATTTCTACAAGAGTTTTTTTTTTTTTGTCTTCAGGTAGAGAAATGGAGTTTGATTCCCCTGTGATTGCGTGCAGTTGTTTCAAAGATTATTTCACTTTCTGCTTTCAGAATCACTTGAGTTGCTTTAGCTGTATTCTCTGGATCATTGTCTGTCCGTCTGGCTTCAAATCTGCCATTTTTCACTCATTTGTCTGAAACTGAGCAGACTTTTGTTCACCTAAACATCTTCTTTGAGATTCTGCGCTCATCCAAAACTACATAACTACACAAATTTAATTGTTTGGAAATTATATCTAACTAGAACAAGCAATTTTTGAAGAAAATATGAAAACAACACTTAACTTTATGTGCTTCAATTTGACAAATTAAGGTTTAAGTGATTTCAACTGCGCTGAGACTGAATCAAAATTTTACCAACTGATTATTTTGCAGACTGGTTGCAAAATACTCTTCATGCAAACAAACGCTTGGTGTTGCTTATCCATAGATTTCATGCCAACTAAACATTAAAACTTGTGCATTTAAGATTTTTTTTTATTAACACTATGATTTCTCAGCACTGTGAGCTTTATTTCTGACCCTCGCCTCCACATGGCTCCCTTCTATTTAATTTGTCTCACACAGGTTATAATAATTCTTTTTTTTCTGTCTCTGCCCACCTGCATCCACTCCTTTAACTGGAGTAGAGAAAAGAAAAATGCAGTGAGCAAAAGAATTTCACTTTGAGGGTGGCAGTGGGGTTGGTTGTGTATTTTTGCAGGGCACCAAAGCACTGGCAGTTCCCCTGACAACCAACACTTCCATACGGCGGCTGAACCTGCGAGATAATTGGATGGGAGAAATGGGTGGAGCTTCCATCGCCAAGATGTTAGAGGCGAATCGTTGCATTACAGGTAGTTGTTCTGAATGCAGCAAGCACACGCCTCATGGTGCCTCCATCACTTGTCACACAAGTTACATCATCAACACGAGTTCACAAACATCCTGCTCAACGTTCAGTTCAGACACTTAAAGGAGACCAATTATGGGTCCTAGAAATGTTTCTGGTATGTCTGTGGGCTATCCAGACCATGTTCATTCAATTTAATGCACAAAATAATTCTCAGATAATAAAATTTCCCATTTTCTAGTTCTGCCTGCTCTGACTTCCGTTCAGAAGAGCTGTTTATGTTAATGAGCTCTGTTGGTAACGCCCTCCAAAAATCTGTTGACATTAACTCCGCCCTCCAAAAATCTGTTGACATTAACTCCGCCCTCCAAAAATCTGTTGACATTAACTCCGCCCTCCAAAGCCAGCGTTTACGTTAGCATGGCTAATAATAGCAGAAGCTCCATTGTACAACCATATGAGACCCTGTGAGACCCAGAGGCAGAGTCGTGGTCACAGCTTCTTTTTTTTTCCTCCTCCTCCTCTGCTCGGCGCTCACTCTGCATGCTGTTACCAGAGCAGGGAGCAGCAGCAGTCAAAATACCTCAGAAACTCGAACAAATAGGCTTTAAGGCTTTAATAAGCTAAACAATAGAGGTACATGAGAAAACGTGTTCATAACGAACGAAAATAAAAATTTAAATTGTATCCATGCTGGTCTTGAACCCTCGTCTCCCGCCCATCACTCTACCCATTGCCCTATTGGAGGCTTGTTGTGAAATGAGATGCGCATTATATAACAGCACCGTGGCTTTTTATACTGAGGAGGAGGAATCTCACCCGAGGGTTGCTAGGTAAGGGGCTGAACTCAGGTTCCGGTGGGTTGTTGTACGGCTTGTGACATCACAAAATGATGGAAGTATAAAATTTGTCATTAATATACATATGTAATATATATTTACTTACATTAAATATGCCCCTGGGTGCATTTTTTTTTGGTCCTAGGACTGTTTTTTTAAGAAGTACATACCCAAAGTTGAGTAAAAAAAATGTAAAAAGTGAATTTGCCTAATAGGTCCCCTTTAAATAAAGAATAAGCAGGATGACAAACACAAATACCTGGCATTTATTTTTTGTCATTTAGCACCACTGTAGTCACAAATGCCTGCAGAAACCTGAACGCTTTCACTAAATCATACGCAAACAACTTGAGATGAAAATCTGTGACTTTAAATGAGTTCTACTTTCACCAATGATCAAATGAAATAACTCAAACTACATCCAGGGCATTATTTAAGTGGGGGAAGTAGGGGTGCAGGGAGTGCTGCAGCACTCTTTGACGAGTGAGAGGACATGCATGTTCAAATACAAACCTGATTAATTAATACGAAAAAAGGTGCTGAACATTTTTAATTTCCAAGAAGATTTAAAAGCCTGGTGAATAAACATGCTGTTATTGTACGTTTGGGCAAAATTTTACGACCGTTTGAATCTTTAAAAAAATTAATAAAGTGTAGTCCATTAAGCTGAAAGAAATAGTTGATTGTTTCGTGTTCGTTACCAAGATGTGTGCGAAACCGTACAGAGAATATACACATGCAATTGAGAGAGAGGCTTAAAGAACAACCATACAAAACCAGAGCTCTGCTGATGTCCGGTTTAATGATGGAAGTCAGAGCGAACCAGGAAATAGCAAGAGTATTTAACATTAGCTTCAGGGCAGGACTCCGCCTATCGATTACATCATCAGTGAAAAGGGGCCCTGTCTTTGTCAGAGTCCTGTCCACGTAAAAAGTTCAATATGTGTTGTATTTGTTGTCAGGCATGTACCTATTTATATAGAATCATCAAGTTAATCAAAAGTCACATTTAACAGTTCTATCACAAAACAAACCATACTATGTGTAATGTAACTAAATCAGTAAGTAACATAAACCCCATTAATTCCTTCAACTCCCCCTTTTCACATGACAATCATGTGAACAAGTCATGACTGCAGTTTTACAAGCTGAGCACCAAGATTGAGGACATTTGTGTTTTATTTCTTTGCTGTAACAATGTTTCCCGACAATAAATGTTGTGCCGTTAGAAAGCCTGTTAATGTCCCTTTTAAATGGTGCCACATTTGTTAGGAACATGCATTTGTGAGATGAGCAGTAGAGCTGATATGTGGGTTGTGCACATGAAAAAATTTGCCAAATCTTCCCCGCCAAATAGTTTATTTTGTTGTTGCTGTTGACACTTGTTTTGAGCTTCTGGTGCTGCCAATCAGGGGCCTGCTATAAGATTTATTACTTTTTGATTTTAAGCATAAAATACAGTGTCTGCTCGAAACATACAGCAGATTCCCTAAGACAAGTTAGCATTTGACTGCATTGTAGTATATCCTGCAGTCCTGAACTGGAAACCACAGTGTGGTCACAGCCAATAAAGCAGCCATTTAAGCTAAATGTTAATTGCAGCATGCCGCTGTGCTCAAATTGATGGTGCTTAGATGCTGATGTGGATGATGTTTGACTTCTTAGCAGTGCTATCATATACTAATTAAAAATAAACAGCTTGAAAGGACTTTAGCTTAGCAACCAAAAGTGCCAAAAAATTTTAAAAAGGCTAATTATGTTTCACAGAAATCTAACAAAACTGTAGCTTTTCTCATCTGTCCAACTATGCTTTTTGACAACTGTTTTCTTTTTCCTCTCCTTGTTTTGCAGTAAAACTGAATAGTAGTGATGTAGCTGTAAAACACAGCTGCAGGCAAACCAAAGCAAAGCTGTGATAATTAGTAAATTAGTGAAACCTAAAGCAAACTCTTGTTTCGAGCACATTTTGATGCTTTTCACAAGCCTCTACTAATGGTTACATTTTTGTTTGTAATATATTCAGCAGTGGACCTGTCTGACAACAATCTCAGGGATTTGGGTGCCAGAGCTATATCTAACATGCTGAAAGGAAACAACACCCTGGTGAGCCTGCAGCTGTCAGGAAACCATTTCACAGACCAGTCTGCCGAATATCTGGGCCCGGCACTTATTTCCAACACCACGCTGCAGCACCTCGACTTGAGCTACAACGCTCTGGGACAGCGAGCAGGTAGAAAAACAAAAGAGTTTTGCATTATATTTCTTATATTTTCCTTTCAAAGAATAAAACGTTACCCACCACTCCAGTTTTCATAGAGCCAAATATCTTCGCCCTAAATTTGTTTTGCTCTCATTTTCTAATAGCGGCAACACAAAACTGAAATTTACCCCTAAATTACACATCCCACCTGCAAAAGGCAGTGACAGTGACAAGAGTCTAGACGTAAATATCTCGGACCTCTTCAAATTCTCCTGTTTCACTTAGGGGCAAAGTTTGTGGTTTATCTCACATTGTGCTCCTGCAGTTTACACTTCCTCTCCTACGCCTGTTCCTGTCATATCAGGAACACTGACAGTTGACATCCTCCCCATTCAAATTCACACTTTATTTAGTTCTGTTCTAACCTAACTCTTGCACACTGTCTAATGAAGCATAGAAACTGCTCTCAAAAGTTTCTCAGACTTTGCATTTGACCCCCACCCACCCACAAACACTGGAGTTCATCTCTTTCAGCTTAATCCTGTCTACTATTGCTCTTATTTAGCCCTTTTTCCTAATCTGTTTGACCGTTTAAACTCACCTGAAGGGTCCAAAGAAAACACTAAACAAAGCCTTCACTTGTTTTATATATTGTGAACAAGACTTCTTTTCATATCAGACTTTAAATAAACTAGATCAGTGGTTCCCAAACTTTTTATCTTCTGACCGACAAAATATTCATGGCAAAAACTTGTGACCCCAAATATTACTGGTCTGAGTACATGAACTTTGTTAATAACCCTAAAACACAGGCTTTTTGACAATATAAACAGCTTGTACACAAATATAAATACTTATTTTTACTTATTTTTGTGTTTTTGTAATAACTATAGGGAAAATATTACATCAGCAATTATTTTATTACCCTTTAAATTAATTTCTGGAGATTATCCAAGGTGCTTCATGACCCATAATTGGGTCCCAAGCCCAACTTTGGGAACCAAAGTGCAGTGGTTCCCAAAATTTTCAGCTTTTGACCCACAAAATAACAGTAGCAGAGACCTGTGCCTACAACTATTTTTGGATGATAAATATTTCTATCAGGTCAATAAAACATGGGCATAGTAATAATATTTTTATGCTATATGCATCCATTTTAAATATACCTACCTCACTCCGTTGTAACAACTAAGGCAAAAATGTAATTAATTCAGAAAATCTTTTCAGGACCCAAACTTGATGTTTCGGGACCCCACTTTGGGTCCCGACCCCAACTTTGGGAAACACTGAACTAGATAACACACATTGGTAGCATATATGACCCCCGTACATGCACCAGTGCACCAGAACTCACCAGCACAGATTTAATGTTTGTTTGTTTGTTTGTTTGTTTGTTTGTTTGTTTGTTTGTTTGTTTGTTTGTTTGTTTGTTTGTTTGTTTTTTGGGGGGGTCATTGGTGGGCCCAATGGATAGCTCTTCCTCAGAGCTAAACAACTTCAAAATCTGAAGCTTCTATGTTAAATGGCTTTTGAGCTATAAGTATTTTTGGATGTCCAGACACTCCCTTTTCAGATGGAGCCCCCTCCTCAAATATGGGGTCCATCGTAAAACTGTTGGCAGGCACAGTGTAGGTCAGACACATCTACGTTCCTGCCAAATTTCCTGTTGATCGGTGTGGCCATTTCTGTAATATAGTTGACTAAATGTAACTGAAAAAATAAAATAAAATAAATAATTATAAATTGATTAAAAAAAACTGTACAAAAACAATATGACTATCGCATCGCATGCAGGGGTCAATTATTTTGCGAGTTAATTTTCTATATTATTTCCATTTTTAAAAGCTTGAACACGGTCCAACATCCTTCCCACTTAATCTTCAGATAGCAGCAAGACAATGAGTCTGTGGTGGGTTTTCTGAGATAATGGTGAACTCTCAAGACCTAAACAATACATTTCTCTTTTGTGGAGATTTACTAACTAAACAAAATGATGCTGTAACAGATCCCAGTTTCCACAGAGGACAGAGCATCTGCAGAATTTGTGGCAAAGAAACAATTTAAAGCAAGAAGCATGCCTATACCCCCCGTCCAAACAATACCTGGGGTTAAAGAGGCTTAGGTTAGATTATACTCTGAATGTTTTGGTATATTTTTAAAGGAGAAGTGTGATTAATCGGCAGCCTTTTGTAGACCACACATGAGTAAAATGCAGAAGGGGAAGTCTTCAATAGTCTAAGCCACAATTTGGAGAAAAATCTGCCTCATTTTAAAAAGAAACAAGGACTGGAACTTACAATTTTATCATCAAAAGAAATAAAAAAGGAAATCCTTCCAAAGGAACAGCTTAGCAGGATATTTTTAGTCAAACATCCAAAAAAAAGTTTAACCATTGGTGTTTTTATTATTTATGTGTTTTTTTTTTTAATCGGAAACTTTTTTAAGCATCCGTCCGAAGTTTTTATTGTCCATTTCTTGCTGTTTAACAACATAAAAATCTATATTGTAATGATTTTTTCCCTTGTCTGCAATGTCTCATTAATGTCTCAATGATTGCATACAATCATCAAGTAGCCACTGAAAGCATCAAGGAACATTTTCACTCTCTGTCTTCCTAAATGATAATTGAATACATAATAGAGCCTTATAAATTGAACAATTATAGTGGAAAGTGTGGAGATGACAATATTAGAGCAGTGGTCTGCTATTATTAGCTTCTTGGAAGGCCATTCCCATAAAAAAATAATTTGCCGTAATAGTGGAGCCTTATCTTCAAGCATTGGCCAGGCCTGTGGCATTCAAAGGTCAGGAACATCTCGCCTTCATTAAAACCTTTCAATTATCATGTGGATGAGCTTTGTGATTAGAGGGAGAATGGCTGAGCGGGACGCTGAGGATCTAATATTAGAGACTGGAAATGAGTCTGTGGGAAAACGGGGATGCTATCGTGTTTTACGTGCAGGGATTCACGTCCTTCTGCTGAAAAATTACAAGTTCCTCTTGAGTTTTTGGGAGCTTTCCTGAAACGACGATCAATCAAACAATGATTCATGTTTTATAATTTTATATCCTACTGCATTGTGTCGAGTCATTTGTCAAGTGTCACACACTTTGTGTTGGTGAGAAAATTAACTTTTTTTCCCATTTTTGTCTGCCTCTACACTTAATGCCAAAAGCACAAAAAAAAACAGCAGAGATGATAAAAGAAGTGTAAAAGTGACTCATATTTAAATTACAAACATCAAAGTTTTCTGTTTCTCAGAAACGTATTAAACTCAGGGTTATATCTGAAGAGAAACTGGGTGACATGTTCCTGATGTTACAATTAAATAATGTGTTTTTTTATTTTGTCTTCTTCATGTTTTTGATTTATTTGTTTCCTGCACTGAGGGCAAACCCTGGGCTTTTCTGTGTCAGAGAACACGGGGCTCAGATCGCTGAGTCTTGCCTGGAATTGCATTCCGGAGAGAGGATTGGTGATGTTGGCCAATGGTCTCAGGGTAATACACTCAATATGTTTGAGCAATTATTTTGTTTGTTTTAACGCAAAAAAAGAAAAAAAAACATATGAAAGCCAAGAAAAGCTTATGTACAAATTTATTTGTCGTTTAAATATGTCTAATGATAGAATTATTTTACAGTTGACTGATGTTACATATAGTGTAGTAAAATACTCATCTGTGCTTTGGAAGCATTGGTATGACTGCCTCTTGAATGGTTAGGAACCTTTTTGTCATTTTTATTCTTTTATTATGTTTTTTATCTTCTTTTTAATGCTAATTGGACCTTGTGGCTGTAATGAAGTTTATCTATCTATATGATGAAGTAATAGCACTCTAAAAAAATTGTCACAACTCTTAAATTTACCAATTTCTTACCACAAAATCTTAGATTTTTTTTAAAGAACCTGCACAGGCTGTTGGGCCTACAATAAGGGCTGCCACGATTAATCGACGACTAATCGATTGTTTAAATAATCAATGACTGATTTAATAATCGATTAATCATTTTCTTTTCTTTTTCTTTTGTTCTTTACTTTGTTTTTCTCTCCAAACTGCTTTGACACCTTCCACTGCCACGTCTGCCTTTCTGTCCTTGACACACATGCACAGTAGTGGTAACTGGGGTAGGCCGTGGACGTCACAAGACATTATACAGACAGGCTCTGGTATCATGGCTACCTGACAACAGAGCTCAAAGTGTGGGATCATTTTAAGAAAATGAAAGAGAAACCTGTGCAATAWCTGCAGAGCAGAACTTACCTTCCACAGCAATTATTTTTAGTTAGCATATAGCTAAACTCTAACGATGGTTATACAATAGCAGCTGCATTCTGACGTGATAAGCTCTATGTTTTATATTCAATTAATTTATGATCTGATTAGTCGACTAATCGAATAAATAATCGGTGATTAATCTATTATTAAAATAATCATTTGTGGCAGCCCTACATACAATTCCTTAAATTAAATCAAGTAAATTCACAAGCCTAGTCTCTATGTAAAGCTATCAATCAGAATTTTTAACTTCAGCAGTCATAATTTTTGTAACTGTAACTAAAATGTAGCTATTTAAGTTAAAATACATTAAAATCATAGGATTTTTTTTCTCAAATGTACCAGAAGGGTAGGAGGTATTAAGATAAAATATATGCTGGGCTATAATATGGACTCCCAAATATTACCAGTTCAAATATGGTAACAATAGCATCAAAAATTAATATTTCAGACACAATATAATCCAACATGTCCATCATACTTGGACAGGTCTCCAGCAAATGTCCAAACTGGACAAATATTTCCAAATACTGTAATATCAACACAAAGACTTCGCTGAGGGCTCAAATGAGAGATAAAACCTCCATGAGTCACATTCAATCGCATTCTACCATCCATATTCACTAAATGCATCATTGAAATATGAATAAATATATATTAATAGTCAACGATATGAATCACAGCCTGGGGGACATGCAGCAAATCCCCACCAACAAACAGCCAAAACACAACAACAAAATGAATGCAAAGCATCAAAACATTACAATCCACACAGCTTATAAAACCAGCAGCAGCAAAAAATATAAGCTTTTCACTTACTTTTGATGCATAATTTGTCCTCTTTTTCTGACCAAAAGCCATCCAAAATGGCATCCAGATTTAAGTTTTAATCCTTTCTTTTATACCATCTCCTGGCCATTAAAATCACTCTTCCTGGTCTTGAAGCACTCAAAACACTCCATAACAAATATATTTTTACTTTTAAAGCATGCAGCTAACACTATAAAAAAACATTTTTTTCTATATCTGCTGTTATCACCACTTGGGGGGGACAAAATGGCTGCCACAGCTGCATGTAGTAACTTAATTGGCTACACAGCTGTGGTGTCAGAATGAAGCTCAAAGCTGATTGGCTGAAACAATCAATCAATCGCATGTACTGTGGGTGGGACATGAGGAGCTTGCCACACATTTTGGGCTCTGGAGAGCCAATAGATTAACCCAGTTGGTCCAAAAAGAGGTCAATCAAGAAAAGACAACTATTAAAATTGTTTGAATGGCATACTGTGCAAATTAAAAGTTCCTGGTAGCCTGGGTCAGGCTATAAAGAGAAAGGAAGTGAGCACAAAGTGGGAGTTGCAGGTTAACAGGTTAGTGGCTTTGCCAAAATGAATACAGTTCTTGTACACATAAGAGAATATTTTAGGCACATTTATTAACTTAAAGATCAAAAACTTAAAACCTTTTAGAAAAAATGAACTCACTTAAAGTGTTTTAATCAGATGTGCTCAAAGCGAAGCCAATGGCCCTATAGGCTGTAGTGCAGATAGCTTTCACTCATGGTGCTTATTTATTCTTTGGATTATCTTAAAACTAAACAAGAAATACAAATAACTACAAGATACATTTAGATTAGATTTAAGCACACATGTAAACTCATTTTATCAGTTTATAAAATGTCTCATGAGTCGTGCCTCAGCATACGTCAAACACTGCACAGGGGCCACCGCACTGCCTGCTAAACATAAAAAATAAATTCAATAAAATAACTGTACTTAAAAAGTGTATTTCATGTATTATTTCCTTGTATTTGACCTGCAGTTCACAGATTTTCATTTTGGCACTTGTTTAAACACTTATAATCAGATTTAAAACTTTATTTGCTCTAATTTTCTTCAGCAAAAGCTTTGTTTTTCCTCCTGTGTGTTTTTAGGAGAACATTTCCCTCCGCTCAGTGGATCTGTCATATAATGACTTTGGTGAGGAAGGAGCCGCTGCTTTAGGACAAGCTCTCAAAGAAAACAACATTTTAGAAGAGCTGAATGTGAGGTAGATTTTCTTCATGATAAGAAACAAATGAGTTAAAAAATACATTTGATATTTAGTTATTTATTCATTTAGATCAAATGTACAATTTTTCATGTTTCTGTAATTTCTCTCCTCTCATCACACAGTTTGCAACTTTTCTTAAACTAAACGGTTTGAAAGAATTTCACCTCTATTAAAACTTAAACTTGACTTTTTTAATAAAGCTAAGTTTTCTTTTCATTTTTATTTTTTTATTTTTTGTGTGTATGCTGCTTCAATGATTAATACGGTTTAAAAAATAAGACTTTGTGATTACCTCCATTATGCTTCAACGCACTTTTTTTCTTTTCTGCATTTTGTTTTCTCACCGCAGCAACAACCGGATACCCCCTGGGGGAGCCATCCACCTCGCCGGGGGTCTCAGAGTAAACAAGACAATCAAATTTCTGAATGTAAGCTGTTGAAAAGAAATTGGTTCTAGCTTCACGAGCAATGGGGGGAATCCGAGGATAAAATGGGGTAAATAAATGGATCACTGTACTTTGCTTTTATATCAGCACCATGGGGTAAGAAAAGAAGAAGAATTTCAAAAACGGTTCAGTCAAATTCAGGGAAAAGCATTAAGATGTGACATTGATAAACTTGTGCACCTGTTTTTCTTTTTCTACATATATTTTTTTATTTTAATTATTTATTAAATTTTTTATATTTTTGTTAAGGAATGGGTGTCAGGTAGAATTTAATTAACTTACAATTTATGTGTTTAAAGTTTGGTTGAAAAAAAAGCTTTGAGAGAATTTAGCTGAGACTAAAATGTAAAGATTTAAGCAAAACTAAATATTTGCTTTATTTAGTGAACAAATCAGAAAGAATCCTTTTACAGAATAACATGAAAATAAACTCAGCACTTCCCCCCAGAAGAGCAGAAATTCCCTCTACGATGATCACCGAGTTAGTTCAGAAAGCTATTTTCTGTTATCTGTGTCATTTTTATCAGAAATAACAGATAAAGATTAACTCACTCATCCTCATCACTCATCCTGGATCAAGGATGAGTGGAAAAAGCAGCCAAAGTTCACAGAAAAACGAATACAAGACAAGTTAGCTCTTTTGGGAACAAACTATAAAGAAAACTAGACATGGGTTTTTACGATGTAAAAACAAGTGTGCATTGCCTTGTAGCATGTTATTGCCTGCAGCAATGGACTTGCAGAATGAACTGACCAAGTTCAAATGTGTTTTCTAATCAAGTACCAGCTTATGGCTGTCAGCTGGTGTTTGTAATGAGGGTAATTGTGTGAAAATATGAAGTTAGAATAAATTATTTGTGAAACTTATTGTAGCTGGGATTTGAATCCTGATCTCCCAGATGAAAGGCTATGACATTAACCACAAGACCATTGGTGCTGGGAGAAAATACAATCCCTGTGTTGTTTTCTATGTGTGTAGAAAGAGGCAACATTGCCARTGACGATTGTTGACAAAGAAATGCATAATGTTACAACAGTAGAGCAATATTATATAAAATGTTTATGCTTATAAGACAATAATATAGTAATACATCAAATTACATACATATCAATATTGTAATAACTGCAATAATTGAGATTAAATATAATTATTAAACTATGGTGCGGTTCCATACTGAGTAGATACAGCAGGGGGCAGTATTGGACGAATACAAGGTCCATTGACTCCCATTGTAATTTATTAAATACAGTATTAATATTTCAAAAACTATAAGTTGTACAGGCACCAAAAGGCATAGCCATCATTTGGCACAGGAGCTTTACAGATATAAATTACAATGGCAGCACTAGGACAAAGTATGCAGGAGGAGAAGCGTGCCAAAGTGGAGATGACTTGGATGGGAAACGAATCACAATAGTGTGCATTGCCAATGCAATGCACACTGATAAGGAAATATTCTCATTATGTCGCGCTTTTCTTGTCAGATCGGAAGGAATCCCATCCAGACTGCCGGCTGCTTGAAGATCCTCCAGTCTCTTCAAGAAAACCCAGATTCATCATTAGAAACTTTGGACTTTTCAGTAAGTGGAACCGCTTTTCTGCCAGGAAAACATTTTCTCTTGTTTCAGACTTCGAACCCATTTATTCTGTCTCCCTCCAGGACATCGCAGTCAACCAGGAGTTTGAAGATTTGTATGCAGCAGTGAAAGAAACCTTCTCTGCGCTCAGAGTGAAACATGGAGGCACATTTGGCCCACTCAGAAAAGCCAAATCCTGAAAAGCGTTACTGTAACTGCTGCACTTACATGAGCTTGAATGCTTGTGAAAGCCTTTTTTTAATTGACAAAATGAATCAACGAATGGAAACTTTTAGAATATTATCAAGAAACTATAAAAATATAAATAAAAAGTACTAATTAAAACCCATTAAAGGTCCAATCGGTTCAATCTAAAAACTGAATCCACAGATTTTCTTTCTTCTGGTACAGAAACAGCTACGGCACTTGAAGAGAATTGTCGATCAAGTTAGTGAAAACAGGCACACACTTCAGGTACTGAGTGTGATTCTTTTCACTTCTGATCTGATTTGATGTTATATAATGTCAGTGGGTAGAACGGTGGAGAGCAGCAGAGAGTGCTGCGTTTTGTACGAAAAGAAGTGAAAGTGGGCTGAACAGAAAGGCAGAGCGTGACTGTTTAACCGGAAAAAAAACCAGCTGTGAAAAACCAGTTAAATAACAATCCTGCTGACTGCTGCAGGACCACACAAACTCTCTTCCATACAGTGACATGTCTCTTTGGATGCATGGAGCACTTTGCCACGCGCACACACACACACACACACACACACACACAC